CCCCAAAACCCCAAAACCCCAAAACCCCAAAACCCCAAAAATCCCATATAATAGAATTTCCATCGCCTCCACCTAATGAAATTCATCGGAAGAACAACTCGTCTAAAACACGACTACAAGCCTGAATACTTCCATGAAAAACACTTCCTCTCCAAATAACATGCTTGACCGCAAAAAGCAAATCGAGAAGGAAGAGAAGCAGATGGAGAAGGATAAACAAGCAGAAGCCAAGAAGAATGTCAAGCAAGAGATTGATAAGATTAGTAAGAGGAAGAAGGCCCAACAGGCGAAGAATAAGGAGCTCCAGAAGATTATAGCTGAGAAGAGTAAGAAGGTTAGCATCGATTTAAAGAAAAGGCAGGAAGAGGAAGAGAAATAAGATCAACCCATTATTGAAGAAGAAAAAGAAGAGGTCCAAAGTGACGTTGAATAATCTGATTAAGCTAAGATCAGCAGCTGATTATAATGTGAAGTCGAAGAAAGATCTGAAAAAGACTTTGAAAAAGAGTTTGTTAAAGAAAACACTTGATGGTGGGATGACCCCGAAAAGAGCAGAGGATAATGTTAATATTCCTGCAACTGGTAGATAATGTTTTTATAAGCTATAGCCCGAGAAAGTTTGCCCATGATTACGCCTACACCAAAGGATGAAGGTGGGCAATCTTTATCGAGTGGAGGATTATCAAGGTACTTTTTCACCTAATTTATAGAGGGAGTACTCCTATTGTACTTTCTGAGAAAACTCCAAAAACACCGAAAAAGCCAAAGAAGAGTAAATTTAAAGGTAAAATTAAGCTATGATCTTTTAATAGAGCAGAAAATAGCTGATGGCAAGATAGATGTTGGGGCAATTGAAAAAGTAGCCAAATATAAGATGGAGCATCAAGAAGACAAAGATGTCCTAGAGATATTTGATGATAAAGCCAGAGAATCTCAGAAATCTTTCTACAATAACGCTTCTTCTAAACATGGCTCAAGCAGGAATTTTATGGAAGATGATATGAGACAATCCTTCTATGATGGCAATGGGAGATATTCGCAAAGGACCCATGATATAGTTAACGAGTATTTGTCAGAAAAACCAAGATATGAATCAAGAAAGGTGAGCATTCAAGAGCATGCTTTTGAGGATTTAAATCCTCAGCACCACCCATTTCAAACACCTCGGGGAGGTATTGCTCAACTAATAAGCATGGCTAAGCAATCTTCTAACTATAATTTATCCCCAGGAATGAACAAATCTCAAAGTGTATTAGACTTGAATTCTCGAATAAGAAGCACGATTGATGAAAATAGAAGATCTTATCAGATGTAATTACTTTAAGAACTTTGGCTTCACCATTCCCCATACAAGCATGATCATTGGCTTGTACATTCTCCACTTCTTCTGGAATGTGCCTGTTGCGAATCCCTTGATGATCCAGATCAAGATGAGAATCTGAATAATTCTTTTAATAAGCTTTTTCTGTCCAATTTGTCCAAACTTTAAGAACATCATCACTGTAAATTCTTTCAAACCTGTAAATGGATAAGAGGCTACGTTAAAGGGATAGAAATTTAGAGGAAGCTTTGTCATGCATGCCTTTGGATGGCTAAAGCATTGGAAACCATAAACTCCATGATAGGAGCCATATCCACTATCTCCAACTCCTCCGAAGGGAAGATATGGATGCACTGCTTGGAAAGCAGCCTCATTTTGGACAAAGGCTCCGGAAGAAGTTGAGTCTCTTACAAGTGCTCCATTTCCTCTAAAGTTACATCCGAAGTAATAGACAGCTAATGGTTTTGGTCTTTCATTGATGAAGTTAATAGCTTCTTCAATATTAGAGTATGAAATGATGGGTAACACTGGACCAAAGATCTCTTCTGTCATGATCTTTGAGTCTAAGCTAGGATCTTCAATAATAGTTGGTGGGATCCATTTCTGTTTAACAGCTTTCAAGTCTTCTTTATTTCTCACTCCACATAATACTTTACCCTCGTGGTTCTCTGATAGATACTCTTTGATTCTTTCAACATGAGTTTCATTGATTATTCCTCCCTTATCAGTGTCGAGATAATTTTCAGACTTATCTTGGAAGCTATTTTTAAGTTCTTTCACTAATTTCTCAGTAAATTCTTTTCTAAATCCGCTAGATACGTCATCATGGACGAGAATATAATCTGTAGCAACTCATGTCTGGCCTGAGTTGGAGAATCTTGCTACTAAAATTTTGGCGACTGTATTGCCAATATTAGCTGACTTATCAACAATAGCTGGGCACTTTCCTCCCAATTCTAGGATTCAGGGAGTCAAATTTTTAGCTGCAGCTTTTGCGACAAGCTTTCCTTTTTCTGAAGATCCAGTGAATACTATTAAATCAAAAGTTTTGGTGATGATCTCCTTGGATACTTCTACACCTCCTTCAATTACCTTGTAAGCTTTCTGGTCAAGATACTTCTTGACTAACTTCTCAATCACTTTAGAGCAACTTTTGGCAACCTCCGATGTCTTTATGATTGCCATGTTTCCAGATCCTATAGCTGTGGCAAGAGGCTGAATTGCTCCCATAAGAGGATAATTCCAAGCATTCATGATCAAGGCCACTCCTAGGGGCTCATACTTGACATAACTCAGAGCTGGGGTCATGAACATAGGAGTTGGTACGTTTGTGGGCTTTGCCCAAGAACATAAATTGCTTCTGATATGTTCAGCTTCTGAAATCAAATGCTGATATTCAATCACTTTAGAAAGATATTCGGATCTTTGGAGGTCCAATTTAAGAGCCAACAAAAGCTCTGATTTCATTTCCTTCAGGCCTCTAATAAGGTTGCTAAGCTGTTGTTTTCTATAGCTTATATCTTTAGAAACTCCAGTCTCAAAGTATTTCCTAGCATTTTGTAGGCAAATATCAATAGTGGGGTCTGAGTTCTTTTTATCTTCTTCCATTTTAATTTATTAATTTAAATTACGTCAATGCAATGTTTTAAAAAGGGGTTTTGGGGTTTTGGGGTTTTGGGG